GCGAGTCGTTGGAATACAGCCAACCGGAGCGCTTTCCGCTATAGCGCATCCCCGGTGATTAATTTGGCAATACAAAGGCCCTCCTCCCCTATTCCTCTGCATCTGAAGTCGTTATTGATTTGGTTCCCTCTTTTTTTCTTTCTTGTACACAGATTTTTTTGCTTTAAAAACTGTTGCGTTCGAGAATGCCTCTGAATATTTTAGTTTTTTACAAATTAGCAGTTGTCTGAAAAGTGACAAAAAGAGAAATCCGGAATTGACACTTTATAAACAGTCTTTATATGCTGACGTTTTTTGCCTTATTTTTGGCTGGTAATCGTTTATTGCTTTCTGTTCTAAATCTTAGCTTTTCATCTGTCAAGCAGTTGAGGCTACTTTTTTCTTTATTATAAGTATGCTTACGCCATCTCTCTTTTGTGATGTTTCTGATATATTTTTTATAAACATTTGTGTTAATATTCGATCCTTGTTTTCTTTTTTTCTCTCTTAATTTTTCTTTAACCAGTCGCCTTTATAACAGTTGTCTCATGTCTGTTTATTTGGTGATCACTTGACTTTAGGTCATGAAACTTCCAGGTAGTTTTTTCAGTCATATTCTAGTTTAAGATGTGACGAACGCTTATTGCCGTAACCTAGCATTTTTTTAATTTTTTATTTGATTACCAAATTCACATTTTTCATACTTTCCTTTGTTCGTTTTTTACAAATTCTTGGTTTTTCTTCTTTTTTTTCGCAGGTTCATACATTTAAAATTTATTTTGCTTCAAAAAATCGATTATTATTTGTTTCAACAGAACTGATATTATTTGGACTATTCCAGTTCCTCTTTAGAAAAGTGAGGAGAACAAACAAGTATATTGGTATATGTTTTGTTTTCAGAATCGTTCCGTCGCAGACTTTTAGGAATGCGAAAATGGCTTTCCAGATTGGGTGCAGGTTCACCTTCCAATCTTACAACAAGTTCCACTTATTCTACACCTTCCCCAAACTCTCATGGTTCACCGTCAGTGGAACGGTTTTTTGGTCAAAGCCCTGATGTAATTCCTCCTCCTCCAACATCTCCCGATAGCAATCCAAGCAATTGGAACGCTGATTTTGCATCTAATCCTACCTGTTGGGAAAATTTTTTCGATGTCTATTGGGAACAGGTTGAAGCGCTCATTGAAGATTTCGGTGAAGTGACGCATTCAAAGGTAATGTGTTTCTGGTTTTAGTCTATTTTGGCGGTAATAAAATTCGTGAGACTACTATTTTTTTAGCTACATAAATCTTTTTCTTTAAGCTGATTTTCTTGAAGGTTTTAAGTTTTCTTCGGCTGTTGGGAAACATGACCCAACTGCTGATGATGGAGATGAATGCTCAGCCTGAGCCTGCTATCGGCCCTATACTTGATCGGTATTTTATAAATCAAATAATGGAGAGGGTTGTTGATTGGGCTATAGAGTCCCCACAGTTTCTCGCTCCAACCTGTCAAGTCAGTTTTTTTATACTAAATTAAAATGGCTTTTTATTGTTTCTGTGAATTTTTGTTTTAGAAGACACCACATTTTGTGTTTTTTGATTCGCCTTTGTTGAAGTGTCAAAATCGTAGTCTCTTTTCTTATTTACTTATTTTGAATTTATTTTACATACCTTAGTCAAGAACTGCTGAGCTCCGGGCAGTCATAATATAAAACAAGTTGATGTTTCCCTGTAAAGTCTTCTGTCTAGGTTGGGTTGGTGCGCATTTACGAAATGATCGTCTCTGAGAGTCATACTCCTAGTCACTGTTTACTTGTACATAAACCAATTTTGCTTCCTCTCATAAAACTTTTGGAGTGGTGTAGGTCTAGCGCAGAAAAGAGGAGTTATACACCGTCTAATACTGACAAACACTTTGTTCTACTTCTGAACCAAGTTTGTTGTTTTATGCTTTGTAAATAATTTTCAAAGTCTTCTTGCCTCTAAATTTGATATTTCTTTTTTCAGATATGCACTAAAATGGCTGAGGATGCCACCTTGCTCCACTTTTTTTTTACATTTAGTGGAGATCAGGAAGAGCAGTTTCTGGTTTTTAGTCTTTTGGTCCCTTATTTGTATGATTGCGGAGATGTTGGTCAGCTTGCTCGCGACGCACTTCTTCTTGTCCTTTCAGTGTCGAGGAAACTTAAGTGTGTGGCTGCTTTTATAGCGTCTAAGGTGGGGATTCTGTACTTTAGTTTTAACTGGTTTTTTCTGCTAGTTCTTTTGTTTCTGCTGGATTTTTTCTGACAATAGTCATTTTCAGTCAAATTTTTGTCCCGTTGTTGCAACAGGTCTCTCTGGTTGTTTCTCACAACTTCCCACAAATATAATGCTTGGATTACAAGTTGACGATGACTGGCATAAAGTTACTTCGTTTGACTTAGAAGCACAGCCAGCGTTGGGAGATTTCCACTCATCTTTATTGTTTTGTAACGCTGTTGTTCAGGTACTAAATGACTAGTTAATTCTTAAGCCGATCATTTTTTTT